ATTTGCCTCCTGCTGCACTGAGAAAAAAGAGATCAGGCAAAAATTTTCAATGTTCTCATGATTGCCTGTATGGATCTAACAGTAACTGGCTGCTGTGCTCTGCCTTCACCACCCCCACCCCCACCCACTGCAAGGGATGAACTGCCCCGGAGCTCGGCCAAGGCCAGCCTTCCCATTTATATGCAGATCCCAACCCCTTTCACCTACTGCAAACACCTGACCTCATATCCCTTCAAAATGTCCCGCAAGATTTATTTATGCTTAAATCATCCAATATCATAGCTACTGGTCATGTGACTACTGAGGCCTCTAGAGGTGGCTAGTTTGAATTGACAAGAGCTATTTGTGTAAAACACTGCAATTCAAGGGATCTAAAATGTCCTGGTGATCGTTTTAGACTGGTTACATTGGAACTATAATATTTTGGATATACTGGGTTAAATAAGATAGAAGATACTGTATTAAAGTTAATTTCACCAGTTTCTTTTACCTTTTATGAGTGTGGCTACTAGAAAGTTAGAAATCATATAAACAGCTCACAAATTTTTTTTGACAATACTTGTCCATACTCCCTGGCCACAATTCCTCTCTTCCCATTCTCTCTTAACCTGCTCTAAAATTCAGCCTCCACTCCTACCCCACCCCATTCTCACCCTACTCACTCCACCAAAAACAGCTCCCTGCAAGGTCACAAATTACCTTTCCACTGCTGAGTCCAATGGTCAATTCTCAGGCTTCATCCTAGGCGTACCCTTTCCTTCTGGAAACATTTTTCACCCAACTTCTGGATACTGCTCTTTGTTCTCCTGTTCCTCAGCCTACTTCTTCTCCATCTCCTCTAGCACCTCCTCCCCCTCTCCCTGACCTCTAAAACTGATGAAGGGTCAGAGATGCAGAACTCAGAGATTTTCTCTTCTCTATATACTTTCATTCCCTAGGCAGTTTCGACCAATCTCATGGCTTTATTAGGATCTATGTCTCGATGACTCCAACATGCATATCTCAGCCTCCATCTCCAGGCTCACACAGCTCATAGCCTGCTCAATATCTGCACTGGAATACCCAAATGGGCGTTTCACTTTCTTTTTTTAAGATTTTATTTATTTATTTGAGAGAGAGATCACAAGTAGGGGTAAGGGGTGGAGGGAGAGGCAGACTCTCTGCTGAGCAGGGAGCCTGATGTGGGGCTCGATTCCCAGGACCCTGGGATCATGACCTGAGCTGAAGGCAGACATATAACTGAGCCACCCAGGCACCTGGCATCTCACTTTCATAAATCCAGCTTCTGACCTTGGCTCCTATGGTAGATCATTACAGATTGATCTCAAGCGAGTAGATCACTGGCTCCCTGTGAGTCATAGCCTCCTAGTATCCACATCTATCCCACCCTGATTGGGCCACATGGCCCACCTGGTTCAGCCATGCATCTTGTTTTGACCAACAGGATATCATCAAAATAGATGCCATCAGAGGCTTGATAAGCATCTGTGCACTGGAGCATGCCCTCTTGGAATGCTGCCCTGAGACCCTTCATGCCATGAAAGGCCATGCAGATAGAGAGGCCCAGCCATCTCAACTGCTCCAGGTGAACCCAGGCAAGACCAGTAGAATAATATCTTAGTCAGCTTGGGGTACCGTAACAAAATACCATAACTGGGTGGCTTAAACAACAGACATTTATTTTTTCACAGTTCTGAAAGCTGTAAAGTCTAAGATCAAAAGGCACTGGCAGACTGGTGTCTGGGGAGAGCCCACTTCCTTTTTCACAGACAGCCACTTTTTTGTTGTATCCTCACAAGGAAGGATGGGCTAGGGAGCTCTCTGGCCTCTTCTTCTTAGAGCACCAATGCCATGCCTGAGGACCCCACCATCATGACCTAACTGAATGCTAACTACCTCACAAAGGCTCTACCTCCAAACACAATCATAATAGGAGTTAGGATTTCAACATATGAACTTAGACCTTATGAGGGCAGGGCACAAACATTCAGTCCATAACAAAGGAAGACTTAGTCTACCCATACACTTGTGAGAAACAGTAAGTCATTCGGTTTTGGGGAGTACCTCTTAATCCCTTTCACCAATTTTGCCCATCGCCCCAAGTCCTCTCCTCCCTGGCAACCAGTATGTTCTCTGTATTTATGAGTCTGTTTCTGCTTGTTCATCTGTTTTGTTTTTTAGACTCTACATATAAACAGAATCAAAGGGTATTTGTCTTTTTTTTTTTTTTTTACTTACTTCACCTAGCAAAATACCCTCTAGGTCCATCTGTGTTGTCACAAATGGCAAGGTCTCCTTTTTATGGCTGAGTAATATTCCATCGTATGCGTGCATGCATGTGTATCATGTCTTCTTTATCCATTCATCTACACTGATTGACACTCGGCTTGCTTCCACACCTTAGCACCAGTCTGCATTCCCACCAATAGTCCCCAAGGCTTCCGTTTTCTCCACATCCTCGCCCAACACTTGCTGTTTCTTGTCTTTTTGATACTAACCATTCTGACAGGTGTGAGGTGATATGGCACTGTGGTTGGAATTTGCATTTCCCTGATGATGAGTGCTATTTGAGCACCTTTTCATGTGTCTGTTGGACATCTGGATGTCTTCTTGGGAAAAAACATCTATTTGGGTCTTCTGCCCATTTTTAATTGGATTACTTGGACTCTTGGTGTTTGGCTGTGTAAGCTCTTTATACATTTTGGAAACTGACCCTTTATCAGATACATCATTTGCAGATACTTCCTCCCATTCAGTAGTCTGCCTTTTTGTCTTGTTGATGGTTGCCTTCAGGGTGCAGGAACTCTGTAGTTTGGTATAGTCCAGTAATGCCATTGCTTTAAGCCACTACGTTTTGGGATGTTTGTTACTTCTACCCCCCTACCCACTCACCCCCCAAATAAAAGCAATAAACAAGTACAAATCCCTCCTCCTAGTCTTCCTGATCTCAGTTAGTGGTCTTCCATCTAAGTCACTCAGGTCATAAACCTCCAAGAGTCATCCTTGACCCCTCCTTCTCTCACACACTACATCTGATCCATCAGCAAATCTGGTTGGCTGTACCTTCAGCATGTATCCAGAATCCGACAATTCTTCTCTGGCTCTCCTGTCAGTACCCCAACCACTAGCATCTCCTGCCTCAGTTATTACAGACATCACTTACAGATTTCCCTGCTTCTGTCCCTGTCCCCTGTGGTCTAATTTCAGCATAGCAACTGGGTGGCCCCTTTAAAAATTCATTTGGATCATGCCAGTCCACAGCTCAAAGCCCTCCAATGACTTCCCATCTCCCTAAGAATAAAATGCCAAGTCCTTACTACGGTCTGTGAGGCCTTATATAATCTGCCCCCTCAGCTATAGCATCTCTCTGACCTCATCTCCTACAACTTAACCCCTTCCTTCCCATGGCTCTAGACACACTGACCTACTTGCTGTTCCTGGAATATTCTAGAAATGGTCCCGTGTCTAGGACCTGTATACTTGTTTGCTCTTCTTGGCATATTCCTCCTCCAGGTATCCAACGGCTCAGCCTCCTGCCTACAAGCCTCTGCTCAGATGTCACATTCTCAGTGAGATCTTGCCTTCAAATGAGGCTCTGCAGCCTCTCCAACCATTCAGCATCCCTGTACCCGATTCTGCTTTACCTCTTCCTCTATGGCACTTAACATTATCTAACTTACTGTACACTTCACTTATTTCTTTATTGTTTCCTTCCACAAGAATGTCAACTCCATGAAAGCAAGGATATGTATCTATTTTGCTCACTGCTTTATACTCAGCAAGTGCCTGACACAAAGTAGGGGTTTGATACATATCTGTAGAAGGAATGAAGTAAGCAGCCCAGTATGTTAGAGAACTTTCTACAGTTCAGTATCATTTGACTATCATGTAGGAGAGAGGGATAAACAAGAGATGGAAGCCAGCTCACGATGAGTGCTGTTTGCCACATTAGGTATTTTGGACTTCACAAATCACCTTGAGATCTCAGGAAAAAGTAGGTTCCAGTGCAGTACGTCTGGGGGTGGGGGCATAGAGTCTGCATTTCTAACTGGCTCCCAGGTGCTGCTGGCCCGCAGACCATATTTTGAAGCAAGGGGTAGAGCTCACAGTCTGGCTGTGGACAGAAGTAGAGCGAGGCTAGAGGCAGGGACACCAGTGTTGAGGCTGCTGTGGAAGAACAAGTCAGGGATGATCCAATCTGAACTAAAGCAGGAGGGATGGGAATGAATCTGAGACATGATCAGGAGATTGAATTGACAGCAGTTGGTCACCAATGGGATATGGAAGAGAAGGGGCGTGAAGGGCCAATGATTATCTGCAGATTTTTGGCCAGGGTAATAAGTGGATGGTGGTACCACTTGATGGGATGGGGAACATGAAAGCAGGTCTGGGTTTGGGAACAGGGAAGAAAATGATTAGTTTAGTTCCCAATAATGATGCCATCCTACCTTTGTGCCCTCTACATAAGACACCTCCATTTTGAGCTTCAGCAAGCCTTTGCCACCCAGAAGATAAGGCCCTAAGGTCATCCTAAAATGACCACAGATGTGTGATTTCCCATTCTTGCCACTGAGCACAGGCTCAAGTCAGGCTTCCCTTCATCTAGGCATTTGACCAAATGAACTGTACCTTCTAATCTGTTGAAATGTATAAGAGACTGTCCTGGGGTATATGCCCATGTGGAAGGTCCATCTGGTTGACCTCCTATCCCGATGGGCTAGAAAGCCCACTCAGGCCAGGCTTTACCTTCAAAGTGCCTAAGTGGGGGATCCCTGGATGGCTCAGCGGTTTAGTGCCTGCATTTGGCCCAGGGCGTGGTCCTGGAGTCCCAGGATCGAGTCCCACATCGGGCTCCCTGCATGGAGCCTGCTTCTCCCTCTGCCTGTGTCTCTGCTTCTCTCTCTGTGTGTGTCTCTGTCTCTGTGTGTGTATGTCTCTCATGAATAAATAAAAATAAAATCTTTAAAAAAAAGCGCCGGTGACCCTGGCGCGGTGTGCCCATGGCGGCTGGAGGTAGCGATCCGCGGGCGGGCAACGTCGAGGAGGATGCCTCACAGCTTATCTTTCCCAAAGAGTTTGAAACAGCGGAGACATTACTAAATTCAGAAGTTCATATACTTCTGGAGCATCGAAAGCAGCAGAATGAGAGTGCAGAAGATGAACAGAAACTTTCTGAGGTCTTCATGAAAACTTTAAATTATACAGCCCATTTCAGCCGTTTCAAAAACAGAGAGACCATTGCCAGTGTCCGTAGCTTGTTGCTACAGAAGAAACTTCATAAGTTTGAGTTAGCCTGTTTGGCCAGCCTTTGCCCAGAGACTGCTGAGGAGTCAAAGGCACTGATACCAAGCCTGGACGGGCAGTTTGAAGATGAGGAGCTACAGCAGATTCTTGACGATATCCAGACCAAGCACAGCTTTCAATATTAGTCTCCAAATATCGCTCCACTGCTGAGGGAACTGTGTCCCAAGCCCATCACCACTGACCAGGTGTCTGGAGCTGACTTACATTACACAGAAATACTATTGCAGAAGACAGTTGGGCTTCCTTTGGCTAGAACAACTCAGCTTGGTCTCAGTTTAGATTGCTATTTTAGACTTAACTCCTAGGTAACCTGGCCTTCCCTCTGGGAGGGGGAGGGGTGAGGTGGGGTGATGCGCACATAAGCTACACTAGTGACTACCTTCTACCACAGTTTTGGCACCTATGTTATTTTTAAATTGTTTTTGTTTAAAAAAATAAAAATAAAAAGTAAAAAAGTGCCTAAGTGGGGGCTGACTGGCTAAGGTAACTTGAAGACCCACCTTCACCTCTGAGAATACCAGCCAGCCCTCTGCCAACAGCACACAGAGTGAGGGCCCTAAGCTGGCAAAGAAGCCACCAGGTAGGCCTGGCCTAGCAGATTCAGCACTGGAGTCCTGAGAGCCAGATCCCAGCTTCCACCCTCATCCATATAGGTGGATCGAAACCCCTCTCAGCAGCACTGTCCAGCCTGCAGGGAAATTTCAGGCCCTCTCTACCTTGCAGGAGCATTGTAGGAATAGAAAAGCCAAAGGAATACGGCAATACTCTACAGAAAAGCAGTAAACATAACACGCCACGGTGCCTCACACAACCTATGCAGTTAGTTGTCAGCCAGGTCTCTGGTGAGCTTTCAGGAAGTGGGGGGTAACTCTTAGATCATTTGAGCCAAGGAGGCCTTACCTTCAGCCTCTATCAGAATTCCTTAGGGGAGTGGTGCTCAGATTTCAGCTGGCATCAGAACCCCTGGGAGGCCTTGTTACAAAGGAGCTTCCTGGGCCCCACCCCAGAGTTTCTGACCTAGGGTGGGACCTAGAGTCAGTAGCCTGAGAATTTGTAATTCTAACAAGTTCCCCAGCTAGCCAGTGGTTTCTGCTGCTGGTCCTGGGACCACCCTTTAAGAACCGCTGTCCTCAAGAATTTGTAGAAAATGCAGATTCCTGGGTCCCACCCCAGCAACCTGAATCTAGGACAGAGGCCCCAATCTGGTCCCGTGTGAGAAACACTGCTTTCTGGAAGCGGCTACCATTACAGAGGGAAGTACTTGACTTAATCATCTGCTCCTACTAAGCACTCCTGAGCTCCAATTCCTTCCTCTTCTGTGGGGAAAATCCCACAGCCATCAGACATTCTCCAATCCACCCCACTGCACAAACCTCAGCCCCTGGCCAATTTTTCAAATTCCCCAGCTCTTCCCTCACCCCATGAACCCTGCAGGAGCCTTTGGAATCTGCCGGAGCCCCTGAGCCTTTCCCTCTGCCATCTGACCTGGCCAACAAAGTGGAAGTGGGAAGCCAGAGAAAGAGAACTTTCCTGGCATCCTAAGGCCAGTTAGACAAGAGGGAGGATGAGCTAATGGGAAGGGGGGGGGGTGATGGAGGAGAAACAGGCAGAATGAGGTCGGTATGACCTTGGGGCCAGTTTGCAAGTCACTGGCATAGTACTCTTGCTTTAACTATTGAAGAAATTAGCACACTGGCTGTATCCCAGCCCTCATCCTCCAGGGGGTAAGCTTAAAGCTTTTATACCCCAGTTTCCTATAATGTCCCCATAGGGCATCTGATTTGCCTGTACTTCAAAATAACTTTCTTACCCTGTGTCAAGCCTGGGCATCCCCAGCTTCCCAATTCTGAAACAAGAGCTCCCTCTAGTGAAGTACGAAGGGTTTTCCAAGTAGCCAGGGCTTCTTCACCCTCCTGGAACCAGGCAGAGATCTCCCTGGCAGCGTGGGGCACCAGTGAACCTCTCCGGAGAACAGTGTTTGGGATGCATAAAAGGCAAAAGTGTTACAAAAGAAGCCAGTAATAATAAAATGGAGTTACCAAGGAGCACCTGGGTGGCTCAGTCGGATAGGCATCTGCCTTCAGCTCAGGTCATGATTCTGGGGTCCTGGGATCCAGTTCTGCAACGGGCTCATTGATCAGCAGGGAGTCTACTTCTCCCTGAGCCCCTCACCTCCCTCTCATACTCTTTCTCCTCTCCCTCTCTCAAATAAATAATTAAAAATTTAAAAACCCAGAGTTATCAAGATAGGATAAACAGATCTGTAATTATAGTACTTGGGTTTCTTTACTAATACATTTAATGAGATCTAGCAGCGAGTCTAACCACTACCATGATTTCAAGGCAGTGATGAGCATACACGTGTTCTGAGCTGTCTGCCACCAGTGTAATGTGACAGGAAGCCATCTGTGATGGCTACTGACAACGAAGTCACAGGTATGGCTAATGCCACTGGTGCCTGTTGCCTATCTTCACGTGCTACATTTCTGGCTGAGGTTGGGGGGAAAACAAGATTTTTTCCCCACCCAATTTAATGGATCCCGTAATTCCTTATTTGTGGACCCCATGTTAAAGACCCCTGCCTAAATAAAACCACCACACCCACCTAACCAAACCAACCCACAGGGATGAAGAAAAGGAGAGGGAGTTCCCAGAGCCAAGAGTTGGGTCACCAACCTGCAGGTCTAAAAGCGGTGTGGGTGTGCTCTTCCGCCCATCCTGCAGCTGACTTCCCTCCAAATCATCCCACTGGAACCTCTGGAAACCTGGTCCCACAATCGGCAAGTTCTTCTATACCTGCCACCTCCACACAGAATGCCCCTGGTACTTCTCCAACCTACAGAGACCTGCCTCTCCCCTAGGACACTGCTTCTCCCTCTGGCTGCTCTGAGCAGAAGCTCTTCCTCTTCCTCCTCCTCCTCCTCCTTCTCCTCCTCCTCCTGTGCTCCCTGAAAGCTTGTGTGGGAAAGGAGGGGGGGGTATTGAAGATTTCCCCTCTCATTATTGTTTCTGGATGCTTGCTCTTCTTTCCTTCTTTCAAGCTTCACTGAGCTTACAGTCTCCCTCTTTACATCAGGCTTTTTCCTGCCCAGCACTGCTCTGGAGTGGTTTCCACATCTGTGCCAGGGGCCCACTTCTAATATCCTGACCTCATGGCCTCTTGAATGTTCTCAACTCCACACATCTGCACCTATATGCCACCTTCCTACCCACAACTGGCTTCAGGGAGCACCCCCAGCCACCCAGCCTCATTTATGTTCATCTGACCACAGCCTCCCATGGTGTCAGATGCCACATCCTCATTTCTGTGTTCACACCCATGCACCACCTGGTGACCTCTGATCCCTTGATTCCCACCCCCACGGACCTCCTCCTTGCTCTTCCTTCCACACCACCTTGGAACCCATGCATGACCAATCCCTTGAATTTTCCCCCTCAAATCCCAGGTGGGCAGAGGGCACTCTTTATCCCTGTTGCCCCATACTTCTCCCTACCCCCGTTCTCACTAGCTCATCCCCAAGGGGTAGCCTGCTAAGAGTGATAACCTAAGAAAGAGCTCAGACCACATTTTAGGAGATTGGTAGGCAGAGTCATGGTACCTTAGCAGACAGAAAGCATATGAGTACAAATTTATAAGGTGTGAATTACATGATGGGTACTACTCTAAGTGCTTTGCATACATAAACACACTTACTGCTTATCCACACCCTTTGAGGAAGTACTACTACTCTTATTTTATAGATGGAGAAACGGAAGCAGAGAGAAGTTAAGGGACTCAGCCAAGGTCACACAGCTAAGTAAGTGACAGAACTAGGTTTTGAAACCAGATTGGTCCCACTTCGTAATTGGCAGCATGCACTTTTCATTGTGCACATCTCAGAACTGTTTCATCAGCAGGTAGCCAGGCCTGTTCAAACTTCCTCTCAAGCTTCTCTGTTCCTTTGACTAGGTGGGAAAGAAGTTCAGGCCCAGTCTACAAATCTGACCACTTCAGATGGTTAGGGTCTGGAGCAGAAAGCTCACTTAGGTGTCAAGACCAAGCTTCAGGCTTTACCCCAGGTAGTGAACGTAGCCCTGCCTATGCTGGAGGTGCTGGGTGTCTGAGAGGCTAATCACAAAGTAAGCACTCTATTTCCCATTCTGTTACTGCTCCTTGGGTGATCTGCCCTTGGTTGGAAACCCGAAAGGAGGAAAGTGGGTGGCAGGGTTACCAAAGCTCTGTCCCAAACCCCAAACATCCCTCACTTTCTGGATCTTCCACACCATTGACCCTATTACTTACAAAGCCCCAATCTTAGATGGATACCTCAAGCCCGAGGTCCTGTGCCTCCATGCAGGCTGCTGAGTCCTCCTGGCAAAAATGGAGCAACTGTACAGACCAGTGTGGGGAAAGATGGGAGGAATCTGCTTCAGGGGGCCCCCCGCTGCACTAGCCACCAAACTTATAGAGCTACACTGTCAGATATGGTAGCTATAGCTGCTCAAGACACACAGCCTTTTCAATTTCAATGTAAATCCATTAAGCTGAAATCAAACAGAAAACTTCCTCGGTCCTACTTCCTGGGTTGCACTAGCCATGTGTCCTCTGCTCAGGGGCCACACAGAGCAGCGGTTAACATACCAAGCAGAGCTGATATAGACCATCTCCATGGTCACCGAGAATTCTATTGGGCAATGTGCCAACAGTCTAGACTTGTCTCCTTCTCCCACCTCCCTCAACACTCAGACCTCTTGCCGGTGCCCATCTCCATTCACTGCAAAGCCCATTCCTTCTCAGCAGGGGTCTGGCACCTATGAGTCCTCCACTCCCTTGGCTCCCTAGTACCTGCCATGTTCCCTCTCACTACTGACCTTCATCATAGCACCTGAATGTGCCCAGCTTTGGGCAGAGAAGAAATGAGAGGAGGGGGAAAGTAAAGACAGAAAGAAGTGGAAGGGGGAGGAATCTCTCCCTTAGCTCTGTAACACTCTTCACCACTCTTTCCTTAACAGCCTTCTCTTTCTCTCCCATCCCCATGTTGCCAAAGGCCTTACTTTGCCAGAACTCTGAAACAACGTGACGCTCCTGATCACTATGACTTGATGAACCTTTCTCCTGCCTTAGCTTCCAGGGCAACCAGACACT